CATTCAAGACGATCAGAAAAGTGTCGAAACGCGCGCCCAAAAACTTTCAGCGAATTACGGAGAACATTACTGCCTTACATCAGCCCTCCAAGGAACAGGAATTACTGAATTGTTCGCATTTGCATTCAATCTGATTCCAGACGCGATCAGGAAGGCTGGCAGTGACCCAGTTCGTCATGTGGATATTGAAAAACCGAATGAAGATGGAAACGAAACAAAGAAAAACGGCTGCAGTTGTTAAGAAATATATTTTATATAATTTTATTTTTTTATTGAAAATTTGAAAGTTATAGACTTGTCAAGTTTTCTGTTACTTATCACCCTAAAGGATTTAATCTTTCGTTCACTTATATTTCATAAATCTGTAATCCAAATATTTATCAAATTCTTTTTTTTATGAAAGATGATTCTCATACATACCTTTTGATGATTAACTTTTTTTATGGACAGTTTTATCAAAATTTATGATTCGGATTCGAATAATAATCAGATCAATGATTTTATTAATTAAAAAGAGGATTATCAAATTTGAGGAATTAACAAAATGAAAATGTTATAGTACATATGAGTGCACGAAATTGTTGCTTCATTCATAATTCATCAAAAAAATTAAAAAATGACGTTTCATTATTTTTCTCCATCAACTACAGATTCACTTTTTCACAATCAGAACCTTACGAATAAGAATGGCTCTTGGTTATCACAGAGGTATTTAATGAATGGCCTAGTTGTGTGAAAAAATGACGGTAATTGTCACAATACACGGTAGAATGATATAGCTTTAACTTTGACTTCATTATTCTAAAATTGAGAATACCAAAAAAAGCTTTTCAAGAAGGATTTATATTGATACAAAAGGTGACAAAAATGCGGGTGTGGAAATGGCAGGAAAATAGATTAAAATAATAATATTTATTAACATAATTTTCACAAAGTAACAATCTGTAAAATTTCTTGAATAACGCTTCGCAATTCCGTAGACTTTGTTTCGCTCAATTTTATGATTGACTGCAGAAGAAACAAAAGATGGCCTTTCGTCCCTTTCACTTTTTTATCATTATAAAGTTTGGGCTCAGTTTCCAAATCTTTCAAGCCAATGAAAAAGTCAATAATGCCTTGGTATTGTTGCTTTCTTAAGACTGATCCAAGTGCTTTTTCCTCTCCAATCAAAAGGTTTGTAACTGCTTCTATTGCTTTTTTCACTGTTTCTTTTGTTAGTTGGAAGAATTGAGGATCGTTTGAATCTTTCGAACAAAACTTTTCAAAGTAAAATTGAAAGAGAATGGGCGATTCTCGTCCAAGTGAAAGAAAAATTGGAAATACGTCAGGTTGAATTAAATTCATTTTTTCAGACATTAGTTTTACAATTGTCTGACGGAATATTGGCATTCTTCTCCCAATTTCAACAAGTCTGCAAACGGTCTTTCGATCAGATAAAATAATATCGAGGGATAACTTGGAGTCAAGAATTAATTTGAAGCATTCCATACATTCTTGTGTGTTTAACATTTTTTGTAAAAGCGGAAGAATTTGAATTAAACAATTAGCCCTTCCTTTTTCATCCAACATTTTGACATATAATGTTGCTAAAGTTTCAAAGCATTTGGCAGTCAAAGGTTGACATCCATATTCAATCAAATTTGTATCTAGTTTGATCAGTTCAATTATTCGTGATTCTTTCAAACTTGGTAAATTATTTTGGACATTCATCGCAGCATGTGTTGAAACATGGAGGAAAGGTTTGTCAACTTGGAATGTACAGAAATATTCGATAATTTTAAGCCAATCTTCAAACTCATCGTCGTCAATTTTATCAGCAATCTTTGGAAAAACGTCCGTAACAACAGAAACAGCCCCTTGTAAGTCGCTTTTTTTTGGATTCGAAACATAAACTGCAACAGTACGTTTAAATGAAAGTGTAACTTTTTTTGAAATATTTGGATCATCGAAAAAGAATAATGGGATATAGCATCTTGTTGCTTCACCTGCCTTTATTCCACTTTCTGTCTTCATTGATATTGATTCTATTCCATTAATAAGTTTATCAATAATTCCTTGATAATCACCAAGACTTCTTAAACATTGAGTGACTCCTTGTATGGCCAATAAAGGTGAATCATTTTTGGCAATGACCATCACCAATGGCGAGATTACATTTTCTAATACGTGCAAACGTAACTCAGATGAAAATTGACCAAAGAATGTATTAACTAAAGAGAAAAATGTTTGTAAAGATGATTCACGAATATTTTGCCTTTTATCAGCAAAATTATTCTGTAGAGTTTTAAATAGTGCACGCCAACAATCATTATTATCTGTTGATAGTGATGATCCTACATTCCATAAAAGTCCGATAGTACCTAATGCAATATTTATATCTTCCATTTGCATAATATATGCTGAAATAGTAGATAAGCACACTTCAAGATCTGTTACTTTCAAATACATTAAACAATCACTACAAATAAAAGTAAGAACGCGAAAACCATTTTGAATATTTTCAGGAAATGGTGTTGCCCAAACAACTTTCAAAATTGTAAGGACCATTGGCCATCCATCTCCTATATTCATTGCAGTTCCACCAGCCAAAAATGGAAGGAGTCCATTAAAAGCAGCAACTGATACATCTCTATGATTTGAGTTTGCCGCTTGGAAAATATAATCAAATATTCTTTGGCGGCACTTTTGCGTTGAGTTTTGCGAATTAACAACATTTTTAGAGATCTCGAAAAGTGAATTTGTGGCCTGAGTTCGATATTCAGGCGAGTCACACTGTAAGAGATAACCTAGATGATCAAAAAATGAATCTTCTATTTCCGAAACTCGTGTTATATTTAAACCAAAGATATATGCTAGTGTTTTAAAAGGCCAAAAATTTGGTACAGTTCCTTTTCGCTCTATAAAAGTTTTGTATTCTTCTTCACTTAGTTTTTTAATTACTCCAAATAATTTAGTAAAAAGTTCGTCATTGATTTCAGTGGAAAATGATAACAGAGATGGTTGAATCAACTTTAATGCTTGTGTATCAGCTGCTGATCGTTTATGTGCTGCCGTATGATGACATAAAGAAATAGTTTCAAAAATCAAAGGCCAAAACATATAAATCTGTGCTTTCATTTGTTGGAGAAGTCTTGTGATTGAATGTAGAGCGATAACACCTTTAGCAACAAGTGAAAAAGCAGCAGAAGTAGGCACAGCGAATCCACAAAGTGTTGAAAATATTCTTTGTGCAGGATCAATTTGTTTCTGTCGAATTGAATACCTAACACATGTTCGAGCGATTTTTAAAGATGTTCCAAGTGTAATTGGATCTTGTGTAGCTTGAATGACTCGTTGCCAAACTCCATCAAAGAGATTAAACACAGCTATAAAGCGTTCAGTATTGTGTGCACATTGTAAAATTTCTTGATAAAGAATAACAACTGAAGAAACCAAAATTTTATTGATTCCTTGATCAAATGGATCATAAGAAGCTAATCCAGGACGATTAGATCCATAAATAATGATTGGATCTGATAAAATCCCTTTAAAATTTGTCGTAAAAAACTTGCTGGAAAAAGATCCAAGTTTGAGAAGTTCATCCGTTGGAATTGTTGTAAATTGCAAAGATGGACAACATGAAATTGTTGTTGCAATTGCGTTTAAAAGGTACGGATAAGAATCAACTAAAGAAACAACTTTTGAAAATAATGGCATGATTCGTTGTGGATCATTTGGAGTCAAATTTACAACCAAATGAGGAATGAACATTGAAAACTTAGTAGGATCTGTTTGATTTGTTACAAATTTGAAAAGTAACTCAATATTAGTTTTGAATTGTGGTTGGAAATATGATAAAAAAGTAAAATGCTTGTCTAAAATATATTTCAAAAGTAATAATGGAAAATTATTTGCTTTGGTGAAAGTTTTCTTAAACATTTTTGGTTCAGAATTTGTAATAAATAATAAAATATCTGTCATTAGCGTAAATATGAATGTGATTGACCAATCATTTGGATCTGCAATTTTTGTTGACTCTAACTCAGTTTCTGATTGGTTTCCTTGAGATCCATCATTATCACTTGCTTGTTCACCATTTTGATTTATTAATAATTCAGCTGTATTATCAAAATCTGGAGAAAGTGAATTTTGCGGAGTGATCATTTTTTTGGCGTTTCCAGAATTCCCCATTGCTTTATCAAAAGCAACATCTAACAGCTGGTACGACATTGCTGTCGCAACATGTGGAATAGTTTGCGATTGAATGTTTCCTGTCATTTGGAATATCCATTTGGTGGCAGTAATTCTGGGTTCAAGGTTGGCGGATGGTGAGGTGAATGAAGCAAGAGAAATTTGAAGGACTTTGAGCATGAATGATTCCGGCGCAGATTGAAGGAGCGAATCAATTATGGAAAATATTTTGGTGCATGCACGTCCGTCGATTGCGCCGATTTCTAAAAGTGTTCGAATTGTGGAAAGTATTGCGATGGATTCGTTGATTAACTTTTTGTCTTTTGTGATTTCCTCGAAAAGAAAAACAAATGGATCATTGACTTCAATGATTTCGACTGGACTCGTTTGTGTGCGTAAACGGAATATAACTTGATCCATTGCCTTTTTGACATTAGCTGGAAGCGGTGAAGAAGCAACAGCGCGCAAATCTGATTCGATTTGCTCGCGTATTTCCATCTCGAATGATTTTAAAACTTTTATGATGGTCAAATATAATGCGGTTATGGTGAAAAGGTAAATTTTTAGTGTTCATTTGACTGAATAAGTATACAAAAACTGGATCACAAAACTTGATCGTCATTAGAGTAGAATCAAAATTCATATTCGAAGGATTCATTTTTATCAATTATCCCTATTAAAATTATTAGAAAAAAGAACATTTTCATGAAAAACAGCTCATAAAAGGGTACAATAAATATTCGGAAAGGAAAATGTTGGAAAGGAACAAAAGAAAAATTTGCTAGATATAAATTTAAGTTTGGTGTTGATACTTTGAGGGAAAGTCGAACGCACCGTTGGTCTAATGGTAGAATTTTACCTTGCCAAGGTAGGGGTCCGGGTTCGATTCCCGGACGGTGCACGAGTTTTTGCTTTTTGGCTTTTAGCTATTTAAGGGAGTACTTTCTGATTTGAATAAAACAATTCTTTGAGTATTATCAAATTATTCAATAGTTTACGAAAGAATAGCTTTTTTCGCATTTTTTTTTTTCCCCATTTTTTTGTGTGGATCAATCACAATGTACCATGATCCTGAACAAAATTTGTTCACATCAAGGAATATATAACCTTTTTATAGAATGCGCCGACGATTTTTTCGCCCATCCGCAATTCGAATAATATTACTATTCGGGAAGCAGCACTAATAACACACTATACTGCCTTATTTTCAAATCACAATAACGTCTTCATAAATAAAAATATGTTAAATATGTTATTTTCGAAAGTGGGACCAATTATCTCTAAATCATATATTGTCGAATATATATTAAACGAGGATAATAATGCGTAATAAAGAAAAACATTTTTAATGAAAGAAGAACATTTTAGTAANAAAGAAAAACACTTTTCAAAAAAGATTGTAATAATTAAATTATTAGAGTCATAAAGAAAACATTTTCTAAGGAAAAGCATTTCATAAAAGGGGAAAAAGCTAATTGATCAGGAATTCTACAATAAAAATTGCTGATTCATCTCTTTCTATAGAAATTGTTCATTTTTCTATGATGGAGGCTTTGAAATTTGTATTCTATGAGAGTTTTCAAATTTGAGAACTATTCCGTTTACAAAGGAAGAGCTCCCTTAAGTTATTTTTCGACAAAGATAATGGCGACAAAATGAAGATTTATTTCTTCTCATGACTTTTGTTGTGTTCAATAGTTATATATCTATATATATTACTCACTCGAAATTGTTATATTTGCTTTTTATTTATTCATTTTTTTAACCAAAAAAACTGACATTCTAAAGTATCTCCGAAACTGAAGTATTTCCCAAGAAGCAAATTAAACAAAACAAAATTAGAAAAAGTTCGAATTTTGGTAATTTTTAATCAATCAGAATTGACTGTCGTCACAAAGTGTTTTTTGTTGTTCTAGGACTTGATTTTGGAGAGTTCAACTTCGATCCCTGACGTGATGCGTTTCTAGAAGACATTTTTGATGAAGTTCTCAATTCTTCATCCTTTTTCTTTCTCTCGTTTTCGCGTGATTCAACACGAGACTGCATCCTGAGCGACATCTGCGACTCTGGACGAAGGTTTGGCACAATCATCTTTGGCTTCTTTCCAGCTTCTGGTGATTCTAAGCCGTATTTGACGAGAACGTCGTTGTATGCATCTTCGAGGCGGTTGAGCATTGCTGGCTTCAATCGTGGCTCTATTGTCTGTTGTTCTGGATGCTTTGCATCATATCTGCTGTGTGTTACGAAATCGCATGTTTTCTTATATTCTCGGGCCAAATTTCTTCTGAATTTGTCATTTTCTTCAGAAATTTTATTTGCCTTTTCTTTCATTATTTTGTCAAGAGAAACGTTTGCCTGTACTCCATACTCCGAAATTTCTTGTGATTGCTTATCAAGAAGTGCGTTCATTCTTGACTTGTAGACTTCTTTGAATAGTTCTTCTCTCTTTTGCTCTTCTTCGAGTTTCGATTCTTCTGCTTGATCTTGATATTCTTGGGCTTTGATGAAATCGCCACGGCGGGCAGTAAGCTTGGCACGGTCGATTAATGTATCGTGTGCTGTATATGGTTTGGTCATTCTTTCTTTATACAAACTAAATAACGCATTTTCGAGATCTTGAAGTTCGCCGATATGTTTTTTCTTAAGTTCTTGGAAGCCTTCTGACATTTTTGTTCGTTCAGCAATTTCTTTCTTCAAATAGGCTTGATTGATTCTCTTTCTGTCGCGGAAATGAGTTCGTGCGATTTTGGCGCAAAGTTCTCCAAAATTGATTGAATATTCTTCAATAAACTGCGTATGATTGTCGTTTGCGAGATCGTCGATTCTTTGTTGGATTTGTTGGGCGAGTGTGAAATCGAGATTATTAATGGCTTCGGCCTGTTTTTCGCGAAGGGATTCTATGGTCTCAACTTCTTCCTCTGGGTATGCCTCTTCTTCGCCACCCTGTGGAATGTCGTTTTGATCAATGCTGTCGTTTGTTATTTGATCGATGCTATCATTTTGTTGTTCATAGCTGTCGTTTTGTTGCTCGTAACTGTCGTTTTGAAGATCAATGCTATCGTTTTGCAACTCATAACTGTCGTTTTGTTGTTCGAGACTATCATTTTGCTCAGGGTTGTCGTTTTGTGGATCTGCCAAATCAGCTTCTGGGATTTGTGGGTCTTGTTCGGCGTTGTTATCTGGTTGATCTAAAATAGCGTCATCGTTGGTTGGTTGAGCTTCTAAAGTTTGCTGTTCTGTATCACTCATGTTATATGGGGTGGTTTCTTTGAATTATAAACGGTTTTCATTCACAATTCTCTTTTTATTCTTCAAAAATATTTTGATCATTAAGACATAACTTTTTTAATGTTTATATGGTCAATATTTGAATGATCAACATTCAAACAATCCTAGAAAAGTTTGTTGACATGATTATTTTCTATTTTTTTCTGAAATAATGGTCAATAAAGTGAAATTTGAGAGGGATTTTGACCAGTTAATATCCTTTTTGACCAAAAATCAAATGAAACTCATTATTCAAAGAGCTCCATCTGGTTCTGTTGTTGTTGACGGAGAAACAGTTGGATCTGAAGAGGGCGGCGTTGTTTGTTTAGTTGGTGTTCATCGTGACGATCAAGAAGAAGATTTAGACTGGATGGTTCAAAAATTATTATCATTTTGCTTGTTTGAAGGCGACGATGGAACTCCTTACCAAAAATCAATTGTCGATGTTGCTGCAAACATTTTATTAGTCTCGCAATTCACTTTACACGCACGACTCGGAAGTGGCCGCAGACCAGATTTCAGCCGATCGATGGGAAATGAGGGAGCTGGAAAGGTTTTCGCTCAATTCGTAGATAAAGTGAAGGCTGCTTATGTTCCTGAAAGGATTCAAACTGGATCATTTGGAGCAATGATGGAAGTTCACATTTTAAATGATGGACCAATGACATTCACATTCGATTCATTTAACAAATGATTTATTTTTTAACTTATACGTAAAAACAATTCTCTTTCGTTAATTTTGTCAAATAAAAATTTAAAAAATTTCTATAATGTTTTTATTTCTTCCATACTTATAAGAAAGCATGTCGTATGGTTTTCCTCACTGGCCTTTGCCTCTCTCTCTCTTCATTTTTTTAGTATTTTAGATATCGAAATAACTCCTTTAATTTCCCCTTGAAATCATTCTGTCATCAAGTTTTCAACATCATGACTTACCTTAATTTGTTGCGGAAAACTAAGCCAATCAACATTATAATGAAAAACATTCATTTCCAATTTGGGAATCTTATTCATCAACAATTTCTATTACCTTGATAAGAATTAATTATAATAAAAATAAAAATGATGGAAGAACAATTGATTTCTATATTTTAAGTAAATAAAACATTGACAAAAATATGTCAAAAATAAGCTTCAGGATGGAAATAATCACAAAGATAATCTAAAAGATAGATAAAAATAATCAATTACCATATATTAAGCTTCTCACGGATCTCTAATATTAAATTTTTGAATTGTTCAGGTGTTCCGTGATTCATGTGAACGAAAAGAGTTACAATATCTATATCCTGAATAGCAGTATCAAAAGTAATGTATGTTCCTGCTTCAGTTTTAGCAATAATCCTTAAATCATCAGGATGGAACCAATCACAATCAAATTCGGAAATCAATTCTTGAACCATAAACATCATTTCTGTTGGTGTTTTTGGAATATCAGGAATATTATCTTCTTGATCATACACAATTGTATCTTTTTCACTAATTGCCCAATCAACTTTAATTGCCATTGAATAAACTGATTGTGGTTGAAAAGCTGTTGTTGTAATTACTTTTCGATGGAAAGGATCAGTTGGTAAACCAGCTGGTTTTTCAATCTTTCCTTCAAGAAATTGGGCATCAGCTTCATCAATGTCTGTTGAATTTACAACTGTGATACTATGATGTTGTGCATCATTCCAAGGTAAGTGCTCAAGTTTTACTGAACCAGTAATCATATAATGAAAAACTTTGGCCATTGTTTGATTGTTTGTTTGAAGATCATTATTTAGTTCTTCATCAGTGGTATATCCAATTTGCATTAAAGTTTTATAGATTTGTGGATTAAGACTTTTTGGATCAACTGCTTCATTCAATTGTGGAAGTGGTATTGGTGAAGGTAGAATGTAACCTATTGGTAATCCCATTGAAAAAGCAGGATGCTTTTTAACTTGGGAAATTGTGAGTCTTTTTGTTGGATCAACAACAATCATTTTGGAAATGAGATCTTGAATCATTGGATGGAAATTCGGCATTTCAAATTCACCTTTCTTAATCTTATTTAACAAATTTCGAATATTTGGATCATCGAATGGTAAATACCCCTGAATGTTAGTTATGTTTCAATAAAATGATGACAACTAAAATTATAATTTCAGAACAAACCCACAAAAGACATATTTTGCTCTTCCACTTTTTTACAATTCATTACAAAAGTACACCAAAAAATTAACTTGAGTGGAAGATCTTTTTTTGGAAACACTTTAGATGATCAGAATAATAATAAAAAAATGTGATACAAAATGTGTCAGAAAGAATGTCAAAAAAAATAATCATAGTTGTCATCATGAAGAAATATACGGCAATCATTGCAAATAAAATAACACCTAAACTCCAGATATCAACAGCTTTTCCATTGTAAGAAATACCACGAATAATTTCTGGTGCTGCGTAGTGAGGTGATCCACAGGAAGTTTCAGCAATGTCATCTTTCATCCAGCGAGCAAAGCCAAAATCTGCCAGCTTTATGTGATTACAATCATCAAGAAGTATGTTTTCTGGCTTTAAATCGCGATGGCAGATTCCATGCTGATGCAAATAATCAATTGCATAGACCAACTCCCGAAAATAGTTGAGAGCTACTTCTTCACTCAGCTGGCC